TCTTTAGCCTTCAAGAAATGTTGAATCCACGAATGTTCCAAAACATGTAAAATAAGGGATTCATCTTAAACAGGAGAATTATCTGAAATCATGATCTACTGGGGTATCGCTATAAGCTTTTGCTCCAATTATTAGCTCAGTGGCACTCCCATAGCCATAGGAACAAATACACGCAGCGTGGCATGAGGCTGTCAACGTTCGGAAACGTGCGCAGCGGATTGCGATGTGAGTAGCGCAAGGCCAAGAATAAAGGACCACATACACACATTGTCCTACGAGGAGACGATTTCGGGTAGTGCTTTACTCATTGGGTTGTCCTTCGACTTCGCTCGGCGTCGGTTCCCTGCCTTCGCAATGGTGAATAGCGAGGCGCTGGGGAAGATAGAACTATTAGGGGTGGTTTGCCCGTCCTGACCTCTCACCTCACCTCCTCTCCTGCCCCCCCCTGGGGGGGGGGGGCAGGAGGGCAGGGGGTGGGGCAGGGGGCAGGGGGCGGGAGTGTGGCTACCGCATCCCATGGCCATGTGCGCATGTGCGACTTTAAGTACTTTAAGTGCACGGGCTACCTACTACTCACAAGAAAATAATAAGTGAATAGGTTGCAGTGATGTATGTTTCAACTGAGAAAGTTAAGGTGAGTGTTGCATTCATCTGTTGTCATATTGGTTACGTCCAACGAGAGCATCCTGGAGCAGTCATCTGAAGCGACCCGCCCCGGCCATTGCATCTGCTCCCTGTGCCTGCTACCTTCCCAGGCCATTGCATCTGCTACCTATGCCTGCTACCTTCCCAGGCCATTGCATCTGCTACCTGTGCCTGCTACCTTTCCAGGCATCCACAATGCACTCGAATCAAGTTTTTCTTGCACCATTCTGGCGTAGTCTTCGTTGTTCTGGCGAAGTCCTTCATCGCACTGGCGCACTTAGTGGACCTCAATGAACTTCACCCCCAGTTCGGTGTCAAAGGCCAAAGGGCGAGGATGTCAACGTATTTGTGGGAACGATGAGTCAGTTGTGTTTGGAAAGTGTCGCGATTATTTTTTATTCCATCCTCCCCAAAATTAGGCCGTCTTTCTCTTTCGGCCTAACTTAGAAGTAATGCAACTCTCTAGATCTGTGGTTTATTTGTATTATTTCTTTGTTCTTCCTTTGGGAGAATGCAGGACTTAATGCCCTTTCTTTTCCAGTGAAAACGTTGAACGTGCCACTTCATGCTTTCCAAACCTACAATCCACAGTTCTTAACATTGAAATTACTGAATTGGGTCACTTGAACAACCTTAATAAACGAAGAATGAGACGTACGCTAAAGGTATACTTTTGCATCCATGATTTTTTGACTGAAGTGACTGAACTTAGTTCAGTCACTTCAGTCAAAAAATCATGGAAACCATCGGTTTATTACATTCATAAATTGCCCGTTGAGGGAATGGAAAATTGTTGCAGGAAAACTTCACGAATTTAATTGGGAACTCTAAAGCGCACGAAACCCAGGCGTTCGCATCGTTTATAAGAGATGCATTGCAGTCAAGACCATCAGGATTTCCTTGGACCCCTGGCCCCTAAAAAGCCCAGGATGAAATCCCTCACGAGCCACGTCATATTATTCGACATGGAACACATTTCGTCGCTGTCCACGTCATCGAAGCAACAGTCCGATATTAGAACGGCCTCATGCTCTGCCCACCTGGCCAATAATAAACTTAAAATACCTTCTTCCTCTGCCAGCATAAAAAACAGGTATTTTCCCTCCTTTTCCATCGAAAAAGCCTATCCATGGTGCTGACATTTTCTTACGAATTGTCGCCCCTGCCGTGCATCATGTCCTCTCGATGTGAGCTCCATCATTTTCTCATCACTGAATCGGAAGTAGAGATTTTCTTATGGAAAATATGCTACATAAATGGTTAGTTATATTTAAATCAATTACAATCCGCATTAGCATAAATATTTTAACCTTATTACACAAAGTCAGACACATGAATCTCACAAGAGTTTGACAGTTCCCCTGAAAACCGAAGGATGATTGAAAAATTTACCGCAAAACATTCCCAGATGATGCAGATCATGCAGAGGCAGAAGACTCTCAAGGAAGATTCAATTCGCTCGCGAAAGGATTTATCTATCCCTGTCCAGCTCGGAAGCTGACCAAGGAATTGATTTTTCTCAATCGTTTGTCCATTGGAAATTGCGACATGCGTGCGCAACCGACATGGAGAATGAGGACTTTTTCCAAAAGGACCTGCAAACCGAGGATAGCGAAAAAAAGTCGATGGCAGGACCATGATGCTCGCGAATGTCCCGAAGTCGGGATGCTTCGACTGTTTCTCCTGCCGCTTACCCGCTACTGCCCTGTGCTCTTATAGTCATCGCCGGAACACAGTTGCAGCGAGGTAGATAAATGGAATCATGATCCGCTTGGAAAACATACTGCTGAGGGTCGTGATTTTCGGCACGCTTGAATGTCTTTTGCTTTTTGCATCGGCATGCAATCTGCTCCTTCGCTTTAATCACTCGGGATGTGCATTTCCAAGCTACATGTCCTCCGGACTGGTCTTTCCGTATAAGCAATTCAACTGTGCATAGACGCCAGGGAGTAATCATTTTGGGGGAAATCATTCACGCGTTACGCCGTCCTTTGTAGTACTGTCCAAAAATGCATCTGGAACGTCACCCATTTGGGTATTTGAGGATGATGCATCACGCGAATTCTAATTGAAAAAAGGATCACCTCCTCGTCCACATATTAACGTTGGATCGGTGGGAGATTGATGTCGTCACCTGTTGCCAAAAGGACAAGCGAAATAAAATTAAAATTCTGACTCTTCAAGTGGTCCTGCCATGTTTTCGAAGAGGATTGCCGGAAATTCACCATTAAATCCAAATTTCCAAATAAGGATGTGCATGAAAACCAAGGCACCAAAATTATCTGTCAAAAACGATATCACCATTGCAACAGTGAGAATATAGTCTTTTCTGAAATACTCAGTAAAAGGAAAATCTGGCGTATGCGAAAAATGCTGGGAGGCGTATCGACGCAGATCCACAGCATTGGATCATCCTTGAATGGAGGTCATCGCTTCACGCCAGGCGCGACCTTCTTCTCTGCACGGATCGAAGTCACCTGCGAGAAGCAAGGACGGCAGGAATTGCTTCGACGCGTGGATCTCTCACATTTGAAGTCCTCCGCATTCGTGCTTGAATGACTTGCACGTCATTTTCGGGGTCATAATCGATATTGCTCCAAGTGAGGGAGGACCAGAAAACCTGATGAAACTCTTTTTTTTTCTTGGTCTGACAGGCTTCGCAATCGCTGAAATTCGAGTGAGTTGCTTCATTTTCAGGGACCAATCTGACATGTCTGACATCAAACAGCTACAGTCAACTATAATGATACCATCCCATTAATCGCATAATCCACGTAATCCCAAGACTTGGGGACGGCATGAATTCCTTTTGTTTTCGGGAGATCTTGTAATTGGATTAAACGTATAAGCCTTTGCATGCTATTCCTTTTACATGAGGTGGTCCCATTACAGCCATGTTCTGATTATGTCTTGTATCAGAATGTTTCCATGTAAGGTGAATAAATGTATAAAGGAAAATCGGAATCTGCGCTTTTTCAAGAAAATGAGTATTTATAGACGAAACAATAGGGATGAGAGCGTAGTGGATCAAATAGGTATGCCCACGAAACGTAACGATCTCTTCATTTATATACAAGAGAGAAATCGATGACGTTCGAACGACGACGGAAGGATTCTGGGTGTAAATAGATAAATAAATCACGTAATGGTCACTGACGAAGAGTTCAGTGGGAGGCTGAGCAAATCTAAGGGCAGAAGAAGCCATCGGCAGAGATGTGATCACTGCTCCTGCCGTCGAGGAACTCGCGAGAGAGGTAAGAATGCAACAATATCGCATTATTTTTTTTTTTTTTGCATGTGGAGTGCCCGGAGACCGGAAACTGGCTAATGTCACACCGATCTTCAGGACGGGTGGTGAAATATAATAAATGACATGCACGTGCCTCGCATAATGTTTCCACGCAAGGTTAAGAAGAACATTCTGAGAAGAAATTCTTGGAGATCCTCAAGGAGAACACGTTCATCCGGAACTCAGCATGGCTTTAAAATGCAAGGAATTTTGAATTTTTCCACTGCAAAGAAAAAATATATATATTTGTCAAATTCCAAATTTTTACAAACTTCCACACTTTCGCTTTTTCTTTCATTTTCTATTCCACTGAAAGTATCGCTGAGTGTACCTTGTCCTTTGTTTGGACCAGTAGAAGCTCAACCCTAGCCATATACGGGTTTCGAGAGGTTCTTTGGAGGATACGAACGACAAAATGTGAATTTATTGGACTAATCCCTCCCCCTGGTTCAATCTGGAGAAATTTTTTTTTGGATCGCATGTAAACGATGCTCTTTAACTCTCCTGTCAATGGTCCGCTCTCTCCACCGACGGAGTTAGAGAGCAACGTGTCGTGGAGAGTTCAATTTCGGAGGGAATTTAAAGAAACCGAAAACTTGGAACCGTATCATCAGGCTATCAATGTTATTTTAGTTTGTGATGAGATGCCTCTATTTTTATTTCAATGGCTTCTTAGGGCAGGGATTCGACGACCATCGCAGCAGTTTCCAGGTACATTATTTTTCCTTCCTTAAGAATAAAATATGGGAAGAATTCATTGACATGAATGAATTTATTTTGAACTCTACTTTGCTCATTTCATGAAATAGACGAGAAGAGAGTAGAAGAAAGTTCTGGAACTTTTTCAAGAACGGAAAAGATCACCGCACAAAATTTCGGAATTGGCTTCATCGACTTCCGGCCCGATTCTGTGCGGATCTCTTGAGCCTCTTGCCGCCGAAAAACCTTGAGGAAGGTACCCCATTAGCCGCAATCCCGGATCTATCCGGCGATCGTGCAACAACCATGTCAGCGGGATAAACGCATCGAAATTCGATTTTCCTTTTGAAGACTGGAAATTTTACACCTACCTCCCTTGTAGAGCCTGGCCGATCGCCTCGCCACCTCCATCCACGATTCCGACGCCTATTCCCTCGCCGATGAACTCCAGGCCCTGCTCTATCTTGCCGTAAATGTCCCTCGATTCTGGTGCCTCTTCGTTTCCTGCCGGTCCTGCGAGTGCCTGAAAGGGAGAAATTCTGGTCTTTCCGTTCAGGGGCATCGAAGAATCGCGCCTCTTTTCAAGGAGTTGCGACAGCTTTCTACGATATCGGGAGCAATTCAGCTTTGCGCGATTTCTGACGGCATCAACTTAAATCAGAGCTTTCAGTTAAAAGAAAGCTTAGATGGTATGTAAAAAAATTAAGGAAAATATTCTATTTCCTCCTCTGTAAACGCGTCCAACTCTGTACCTAATGGTGGCTTGATGTTCCAGGCTGCGCGTGAGTTTCATTCCGCATGTAATATGTACTATGATGTAGTTCGTCCGTGCGCAGCGTCTCTACTCTGGTTTCCAACGTGAAAATCGTTTCACAGATGGGTTATCCTGGCAAACCAATACGTTTGCAGGTATTGTGCTTCATGGGAATCGTAAAGTGCAAGGATCGCGAAAGAAAAAATAAAGGAGGCTCACGAGGAAGGCATGCTGGCAGAGGACGAGGAGGAGGGCGGTAGAGAGGATCATCATGCTCTGACGCTTCGAGTAGGCTCGGTTGATTTGGAATGCTTCGTCGTGCCGACCGCACAGGTACTTACAGGAGTCCGACCGTCCTTGCTGGCTCACATTCAACTGGCTCACGCAGTTCATGGATCATGTAATGTAAAAGATTTTGGGTGTAAATAGATCACGTAACGGTCACTGACGAAGAGTTCAGGGGGAGGATGAGAAATCTAAAAGCAGAAGAAGCCATCTCCAGAGATGGGATCCCTGCTCCTGCCGTCGAGGAACTCGTGAGGGAGCTATACTGTAGATGCCGTTAACAACAATATAACTTTCTTTTTGTTGCGTGGGGAATGCTCCGAGACCGGAAACTAGCTAACGACACACCGATCTGTAGCTAACGACGCACATATATTTGTTATGGGTGGTCAAGCAGCTCGGGTAATAAATAACTCGCATAAAGTTTCCTGGAAATTTTATGGAGAGCATCCAGAGAATAAATTATTGGAGATCCAGAAGGAGAACGTGTTCATCCGGAACTCAGCATGACTTTAGAATGCAAGGAATTGTGAATTCTTTGACTCCAAATAATAACTTAATTTTGATAATTTCCAAATTTATACACATGGCAACTGTCACTCTTTTGTTGTTTTTTTTTTATTTTCTATTCCAACGAAAATATTGCTAAATCCATCTTGTTCTTTACTTGCACCAGTAGTAGCTCAACCAGGGCCAGATATTCACTTCGAGAGGTTCTTTCGAAGAATGCTTTCGCATCGTGGGCCTTTAAATACATCCGTGTTCTTGCACCGGCTGCCTAATAGTAGCATGAAAATACTAAGTGAATAGGTTACAGTGATGCATGTTTCAACTCAGAAAGTTATGTGAGTGTAGCATTAATCTGTTGATTTATTGGTTACGTCCTTCGTGGGCATTCAGCAGCCGTCTAATGAAACGCGCCGCCAAGGCCATTGCATCTGCAACCTGTGCCTGCTACCTTCCCAGGCATGCACACTGCACTCGAATCAGGTTTTCTTGCAACATGCTGGTCTAGTCTTCGTTGTTCTGGTGAGATCCTTCATCGCACTGACGCGCTTAGTGGACCACAATGACTTTCACTCCCAGTTCGGAGTCAAAATACAAATTGTGATGAAGTCAACGTATTTTTTGAATGATGAGTGAGCTGTGTTAGGAAAGGGTCGCGTTCATTTTCTAATCCAGCTCATCCATTATCCCAAAAATTAGGATGTCTTTCTCTTTCGACCTAACTTGGAAGTTACTAGGAAGTTCGACACACTAGATCTTTGTTTTTCGCGTCTTCTCTGAGTTTAGTCGGTTTGGGTTTATAAGAAAAAGCCAAAAGGGCCTGGGAAACAGTCTGATAGACTAACATCCAGGCGATGGAGTTATTCTTTCGGAGAGTGCAGGACATAATGCTTTCTTTTCAAACGAAAACGGGCGCTCACTGGCCCTCTGTTCAAGGAGATTACCCCCTCGTTGAACGTGCGCACGCATGCAACACCATGCTTTCTCAACCAACAATCACAATTCTTAACATTAAAACTAGTGATTTGGGTTACTTGAACAACCTCAGTAACCAAAGAATGAGTTGGTAAAGGTATTAAGAACTTCAATCACCAGATCAGGGTAACCTTCCGTTTATTACATTCATGAATTGCCTGCCGAAGGAATGGCAAATTGTTGCCGGAAAACTTCACGAATGGAATTGGGAACTCTAAAGCGCACAAGATCCAGGTGTTCGTGTTCCTGGCTAATCCAGGTGTTCGTCTCCTTTAGAAGGGATGCATTGCAGTCAAGACCATCACGATTTCCTTGGAGCCCTGGCTCTCAAAAGCCTTGGATGAAATCCCTTATGAGCAACGTTATTGGACCTATTAGTTGATATGGAACATATTAAGACTCTGTCTATGTCATTAAAGGAACAATCGGCAATCGACAGGCCTCATGATCTGCCTACCTGGCTAACATCGCCCCAACAAGAGCCTCACCAGCACCTTCCGCGAGTCCTTCCAGTGCTGCCTCGCCATATGCCTCCCAATCTCGAGAGCTTGGTTGCCCTTCAATTCCTTCTTGTTCTGCGTGCGCCTGCATGAGGAAAAAAAAACGGGTATTTTCCCTCCTTTTCCCTCGAAAAAGCCTATCCATGGTGTTGTCCTTTTCTTACGAATTGTTGCCCCTGTCGTGCATCATATCATCTCAATGTGAGCTTGATTATTTTCTTAGCTTTGAATTGGAAGTAGAGATTTTCTAAAATAAAATATGATACATAAATGGTTAGTTATATGTAAATCAAATACTATCCGTATTAGGATAAATATTTCAAAAATTACTACATATGATCACACGCATCTATCTCACTAGAGTTTTACACAAGAGCGTGCATATTACAGTTCCCCTGAAAACCAAAAGGTTGATTCGAAAGGCGATAACAATTCACGTCAACATTCAGCGACAGTGCAGAAAATCAAGAGGCTGGGAACTCTCAAGGAACATTCAATTCGTTCGTGAAATGTTTTATCAAACCCTGTCCAGCTGGAAGCTGACTAAGAAGTTGATTTTTCTTTATCATTTGCCTTGTGAAAATCGCGACATGCGTGGCGTGCGTAACTGACATGGCGAATGAGGACTTACCAAAAGGACTTGCAGACAGAGGACCACGAAAAATGTCGATGAGAGGATCATGATGCTCGAATGTCCCGAAGTCGTTGCGATGCTTCGACTGACTGCTGCTGCTTACCCGCTACTGCCTGAGTTCTTATAGTCTGCTGGCGTCCTCGGTGGTACGCAGTTGCAGCAAGGCAGAGAAATGGAAAAGTACTGCTGAAGGTCATGATGTTCGTCACGCTTGAATGTGTCTTTTGCGTCACATCAACATGAAATCTGCTTCTTCGCGTTTATCACTCAGGATGTGCGTTTCCACGTTACATGACCTGCGGACTGGTTTTTCCGTGTAACCAACTGCGCATCGACGCCAAGCAGTAATACTTTGGGGAAATCATTCACGAGTTACAACGTCCTTTTAGCGCCGTCCAAAAATGGATCTGGAATTTCCCCCATTTTTTCCTGTGGATGATGCATCACGCAAATTCTAATTTATTAAAGGAATCACGTCCTCGTTCATATATTAACGTTGGACCAATGGAAGTTCAATGCTGTCACTTGTTACTAATAGGACAAACGAAATAAAATTAAAATCCTCTCGTTGCAAGTGGTACTATCATGTTTTCGGAGGAGATTGTCAGAAATTTTCCCCCATCTTCCAAATAAGGATGTGCATTAAAACTAAGTCACCAAATTATCTTTAAAAAAAATATCCCCATTGGAACAGTGGGAATATAGTCTTTTCTGAAATACTCAGTAAAAGGAAAATCTGGTGAATGTGAAAAATGTGGAGGGACGTATCGCAGATCCACAGCATTGGATCATCCTTGAGTGGAAGTCGTTGCGGCACACCAGACGCACGTATCGGACATATCGGAGTCATCTGCGAAGAGCAAGGACAGCAGGAATTTCTCCGTCACGTGGATCTCTCACATTTGAAGGCCTCCGCATTCGTGCTTGAATGAACAGTGAACAGGTAAAAACCTATTCAAACTTGGATTTCCCTGGTTTTTTTATTCCGGAAAACCCAAGGAACATGTACCCAGCAATGAATATGTCAACTGGAGACTCACGAAAAAGGCTTGGTGACAGAGGACGAGGAAAAGAGCCGTTGAGTGGATCATGATTGCTCGGTTGCTCTGAAGTTGTTTCGATACTGTGAAGATTTCTACTGATCCAGTGACGCTCCCGCACACATACTTATTGGATTATGACTGTCCTTGACTTTTTACATGCTCGGATTGGTTCGGAGATATATTACACATGTGTAACGCACGCGGTCGTCTGGCGTGGCCGGTAGTATTTACTCGTACTGGCTGTACTTAAATACTACCTGCAAACTACCTTGACCGTCGCGAAACAAGAAAAATATTTAAAAAAGAAAGGATATTAGAAATTTGCCCCTTTGGGATGGTTCGTATTGGTCGGACGGAATCAGTAGCCGTGAGGCAAGGATTCCAACAGAATGGGATTTTCACAGATTTTCTTTATTCTAATCTACGGTTGACAGATTAGGTTCTGGTTCGGCAAGTTAGCAAAAGAATATACAGGGTTCCTCAGCACAGCTTCGCGAGCGAGCAGCTTTCGTTAGAGACTTGTCGCTGTCACAACTACAGGTGAAGGGACATGGGTAGCGGAGAGTAGCAATTAATTAACCCTACCCCGGACCGGAGTCCGGAGCCTGACGGGAAAAGGGCAATTAGTCACTGGCGTGCACTACACATGCCAGTGAGACGCCATCTGCTTCACGCGTCCTTCATCACTCGCTTAAGGCTTCAAGAATTTCCGGGGGAAACACCACGAAAGTAAATAGGCAACACCCATTCGAAATATTTACTTAGTCAAAATGAAAAGGACGCACTTGAGGACTTCTGCAGGATGTTTAATACGACATGTTGTCATAAAATCATTAAGCCCTGTGGAAGGGAGACTCTAGGAATAAATTTCGGTGTTTCTCAAGTTTGCAACGTTGGTTACGTGAAATTCCTTCCAGAATGAAATTTCTCAGCATATGATGAACTTCACTCAGTAAGCGATGCAATTATATTATTTTAATGACGAGGTGCATGTTGAAAAATCACTACCCCACACGGAAATGTTCGCAAAAGGGAAAATGGAAGATGATGTCCTGCGAAAATGTATCGGTATCTTTCATTAAAACCATTCCACAATGCACATGTTCTTCAAGTCACGTTCTTTGCAAATCATTCAGAAGCATGACAAGAAGAGATATTGCTTGTTCATGTACCTTCACTAAAAAATCAATCAATTATAGTTCAATACCAATGACCAATATTGATCTCAAGAACGTTTTCCTTTACCTCACGATATTTAATACTTGGAACTATACGTTTGCTTCATCCCAACTGTAATCTTTCCATCTAATAACGACATGAAGTAGTGCCAGAACAAAAAAAAATTACTTTATTGCGTCAGGTTTAAAAAGATTGTCCAAGTAAAATTGTTGCCGTAGCGATAGGAAATGAATTTTTTGAGTTTGTGACGGATTAAAGGAGGAAAAATCTCCAGGAGGAAAATATGCAGGATGGAAATTATGCTGAAGCTTATCTGCAGTCATACGTGATATCTACGCCGAGGTTAAACGCTGATTGCCAGACGCAACCTTATTTTCGCCAGCTCATTCGCCATCTGCGAGAAGGATGTGCGCTTTTTGACCTCCGGAAACTCATGTAACGCAAATGTCTCCTGAAGGTCTCTACAGGTGCCACATTCCACCAAGGATCAGTCCTTGAACGACCTGGACGTAAACAGGGGTTTCTGGCTTCGCAGAACTGTGAAGTATGAGTCAAGCCTATCTAAATCGTGAAGTTTTTTTTTTCCTTGTGCTCCTCGGCTTGGCATTTCCGGTGAGCCTTGCAAATTCATGGATACTTCCTTTGTGTAATGGGATTGTAGATGGTTCGGGCCATATAACAAAAAATATATATACTAGACCACACCCGCGTCCCGCTGGATCCGCTTCGCTGGTAACATTTCAACAGACATCAATAACTCAGATCTAATTTGTAATTAGCAGTAAGAGAAAATACATTATTAACGAGATAAAACGTTCGAATTTCAAAGTGCCACACTTGAGATGAATAATAGGGGATGCCTCACTTCATCACGGAACACTCAACTGGATGTATGCAAATTCTCAGTCATACCCGCCTTGTAGCATTCAAGTTATGCACGTAGTTGAAGTTTCGAACATCCAGGTACACAGAAAATTCAGTGCCTCAGTTCGATGCATTTTTCTCGCGAAAAAATCTGTCCTGCATGTGATGCGTCTTCATCGCATCAATTCTGGTTTATTGGTTTATTCAATTCAATTCACTTATGTGGAAAATGAAGGAATGCACAATTTTCCCTGAGGTACTCATGTATTCAGAAATGGAATTCAGTGTGTTGCAGGTCTTTCCTCTATCTTTGAGTACGGCACCCTTAAAGGCAATGTAGTCGTGCATAATAAGTGAAGCTCCAAGGTACAAATGTTTTGCCATGATCATCACACCATCAATCGATCCTTGAGACAACCTCACAATCTGCCCCACCTGTCAAGGATATCCTCGGCGATACCCACGCCAGCTCCCTCTCCTTCAGCAAATCCATTTATGATTTCACCTCCACGATTCGGGAAATGAAGGGGAAAAAATATTATTGGGGTTATATTATATTGAGAGAAGGTTGCCTATTCCAACGAGTTGCGCTTCATCATATCCATTCCACGAAGATGGAAGATTTCTTACGAAATGAAGTATTGATAAAAGTCGAGCATATTCAATGAAAAGGATTCCAAACAACAATAATCAATTAGGTCAATTAATATATCTATTTCAAAACCAAAGGTTGATCATATTTATATAATGAATGGGCGACATTCTACATGAATATAGTTAAAGCTAAGGGGTAATTAAATATTCCAGGTTATCTTTTTGTTCCTTTGCCTTTCAAGACGATGTCAAATTTCAATATGGAAGGAAGATACATTCTTCATTTCGCCAATGCAATGATATTTCCATGACTTTCTGGGCTGATGAGCCTATGGACGATCCCTGGTGGTCTGCCTCATTAAAGTCGCTACATGCATGGTGTATGCAAATGACAGCAAATGGAGACTCACGAAGAAGACTTGCTGACATAGGACGAGGAGAAGGGTAGAAGAGAAGCAATAGGAGGATCATGATGCTCGGATGTTTCCAAAATGTTACGTATTGCGCTTCATTGGCGCTACCGCATAGGCTCTTATATGCTTTTTACGGCCCCTGACGGTTTTAGATACGCCATGGAATGGAACCTCAGGATATCTGGCTACAAGAAGGCCAGATCACTAGTTTCTATTTAATACATGGCATATACCTCCCAAACCACGTCTGCAGTCCAGACGCGGGCGTCCATCATGTTTCATGACAAGTTTCAAGCACGCGTTGTCGAATTCAAGGCAGAAACAACAAGGGAGTCATATTTCCCTCCCAGGAAGAGGAATGACAAAACTGAAATTCGGGAGATCGCGTTGATCTACATGCCAAATGAGTATATTTAACCCTCTATTGTTGAAATATGACTCGAAACGATCGTCATCTTCATTACAACGAATATTACTTATGTTTACAAATATTTCACTATCATATATTTAGAAAGAAGGAATTGTGTTGAGTGATGAAGCTAAAATACATCATTGTACATTACTGTACACAGGCTAAAAGTGATTGCATGCTCATGAAAACATCACATTTTGTCATCATGCTGAAGGGCATCATCATTCAGTGTAGGCTTTAATACGATGTGAAATACAAGTGAGCATTTTGCAATGCGGTTAAAAGCTTTCTTAACAGAACATTTCCCTGAAATTCCTGTTAGCATTTCAACCGTATTTTTGCATCGTCAGCCTCGAATAAATCCACCTATAAGGCAAACAGGAGAACAATGCATCGTGATTCACTCAGCATATTCCCGACAGTGGGAAAAATCGACACCATTAGTACTTCTGTCGGTAACACGGCATCGCACAGCCTCACAGATGAAGGACATATTGCAGAGGCCGTGACGTAAATGCAGATGAAGTCCATGAGCAAGGAGCGCCACAACCTTCCTGCAGTCTTCACGGCAGGTCGTGTTTCCATGTGACTTGACGCAACTGCGCGTCGTCGAGGACACTTGCAGCAGTGCGAATGAAGCTGTTAGAAATCGTGGCAGCATCTTGATAGCTTCGGAACAGCCGAGCATCGTGATCCTCGCAGCCGCAAGGAGATACCTCTACGGTTATTTCAATGTTTCGTAAGGGCACGGATTCGACGACCGTCGCATCGGTTTCCAGCTACATTTTTTATTTTTAAGAATAATATATGGGAAGAATGCATTGGCATGAATAAATTTATTTTGAACTCTGGTCTGCTCGTTTCATGAAATTCATGACAAGAGAGTAGAAGAAAGTTCCAGAACTTCTTCACGAACGGAAACGACCGCCGCACAATTTCGGAATTGGCTTCATGGGCTTCATTGAGTCCGTCGGACCCGATTCCGTGCGGATCTCTCGAGCCTCTTGGCCCCGAAAAAACTTGAGGAAGGTTCCCCAGGAGCCGCAATCCCGGATCTATCCGGCGATCATCCGAAAACCATGTCAGCGGGATGAACGCATCGAAATTCGATTTTATTTTGGAAATTTGCGCCTACCTCCCTTGTAGAGCCTGGCCGATCGCCTCTCCGACTCCATCCACGATTCCCTCGCCGATTCCCTCGCCGATGAACTCCAGGCCTTGCTCTATCGTGTCGTAAATGTCCCTCGATTCTGGTGCCTTTTCATTTCCTGCCGGTCCTGCGAGTGCCTGAAAGGGAGAAATTCTGGTCTTTCTGTTCAGGTGCATCGAAGAATGTCGCCTCTTTTCAAGGAGTTGCGACAGCTTTCTACAATATCGGTAGCAATTCAGCTTTGCGCGATTTCTGACGGCATCAACTTAAATCAGAGCTTTCAGTTAAAAGAAAGCTTAGATGATATGTAAAAAAATTGAGGAAAATATTATATTTCCTCCTCTGTAAACGCGTCCAACTCTGTACCTAAGCTATGCAATGGTGGCTTGATGTTTCACAGATGGGTTATCCTGGCAAACCAATACGTTTGCAGGTATTGTGCTTCATGGGAATCGTAAAGTCCAAAGATCGCGAAAGAAAAAATAAAGGAGGCTCACGAGGAAGGCATGCTGGCAGAGGACGAGGAGGAGGGCGGTAGAGAGGATCATCATGCTCTGACGCTCCGAGGAGGCCTGGCTGATTTGGAATGCTTCGTCGTGCCGACCGCACAGGTACTTATAGGAGTCCGACCGTCCTTGCTGGCTCACATTCAACTGGCTCATGCAGTTTGAATGCGCAGCAGGAAGGCCGCATCGGTCGTTTTTCACCCATGATCTTCCCCTAACGGCGCTTGTACCGTGCACGTTCACGTCCTTCGTGTTTCAGGCAAGGGAACGTGCGTGGGATTTCCTTCTCTTTTTCACGAATTCGGTTTCTTCTGGGATGATAAACACGTGTCCTTAGTGTTCAATAGTGTTCAAATGAGACACACGGAAAGAAATTGAAGTTCCCAGGAATTAAATGGATTAGGAGGGAACCACAAATTTCCCGTGAGCTCCGTCATACAGCATTCTAAATAGAGACAACTTTCGAATTTCGAGCAGGCATCAATAATAATGGAATGTTTCCGTTATGAGCGAAACCATTACCGCATGTACTTCTAAACCAGTTCCGCCCGTACTCCTTCAACCGAGATCCGTTGTTTTCGTTTCTAACTATAGCATATCGGAAAAGACAGACGATGATTTCCGGTTGGCTGGCAAGTTCACGGTCGGGTGCGAAGAAAAGATTTCAGCGGAGTTCCTGGGATGATTGGAGTCTGCGCATCATGTCCGTCGTTCCGTCTCAGTACGATGTAATGTTGCGTACTTTTCAAGTACGTGTGCCATTACATTCAACGTAATGCTTTTGATGGGGAATCATGTTCTCGTCTTCCAAGATATTTAAACAAATAAAAATTTCCGTGATTTTTCAACTGAAATGCATCGCATCATTGCTCGGGAACAATGAAGCACAATGAAATGGAATCTTGTTTGTTTATATTTATCAGGTACTTGCCGTGAGGCATCAATACCTTGACGTTGAATACTAATGACTAATTCTGCTCCCTAGAACGTTTTCCCTCCCTTAATCATAATAAATAGCTCGAACCAGAATCATATTTCATTTTTGTTGTGGACATTCCGCGCAATGACGGCGTGAGGATGAGCCAGAAAATAAATCGCTCATTAGCATGTGGTGCATGGTGAAAATAAAATGAAGGAGGAAAATGGTCCAAGTAATGGTGGAGATTCATGACGAGTTCATGACTGTTCATGATGGTTCATGACGAGTCAGACCGTGAACGATGAAATGGTGGAGGTGATTCCTATCCGCAATCATGCATCATCTCCGAGTCGAGGTCAACGATGCGGACCAGGCAGAGCCTTCACTCTCCCCACTCGTGCCACCACCTGCGACCGGCAAGGGCGCTTACGTTCCCGTAAGCGCCCTTGACGGGCGGGGGCCTCCCTCCGACGGCTGGCCGATGCAGGTCGCTGCAAGCGCCGCATCCCCGTTCGGTCCTTGAAGGACCTGGACCGAACTGGCTTCGGTAGCGAAGGCATTGCGAGTCGAAGGAGATCGAATCGTGAAGCTACTTCGTTTTTTGTGCTCCTCGACTTCGCATTACCATGCATGAGCTCGTCATATCGTAAGGCCCCTGTTCAATTCCCTGGTATTCCATGCCTTATTTTTTTTTTTACTTGCCTTGCCTTCCATGTCCCGTTGCTTGAATATAACGGAGAGACATGGAAAGCTGAAACCTGGCATGGAGGTGCCTACCAAGACGATAAGTTCAGGAAAAATGCAAAATTATAGATCCTAAATAAAACGGAGAGACATGGAAAGCTGAAACCTGGCATGGAGGTGCCTACCAAAACGATAAGTTCAGGAAAAATGCAAAATTATAGATCCTATCCCTTGGGGATGTTTTTTGGGGCCAACGTTTTCAATTATTTTTATTGTCCTGCCGTATTGAGCTATTGTGGAAAGATGAAACTTGTTACGTAACTACCTATTGGGATGCTGCAGAAAAATTCATACTTTGGAAGGAAATGACCTGGGAGCACAAATTTCATAGGGAGATGTTTTCAACTAATAAGTTAAACTGTTGAACATAAAACGCTGAAACTTTGCATGAATGTGACTACTGAAACAAGCAGTTAAATAACAATGTTAAGTCTCGATACTCTCCTCTCGATGATTCCCCTGGGGGAATTTTTTCGAGGTGCGACGTTTTGAAAAAAAATGTCGTGGCGAATTGGACAAAGATGGAAAGGTGAACCAGCGAAAAGGGCAAACGCATAATGAAACTTTGTGGGCATGTAGTTCACCGGGCAGACATGGAAAAGAAGCTGGCGCACGCATCACTGACGTGATGTTGATTTAAAGAAAAATTAAACTTTTCCATACGTTTCCTCAGAGGACAGCTTTTGGTTGTGTCGCTTTTCAAAATAATTTTTTTCTGCCAGCAAAAAGGGGAAACGTTTAAGGCTGAAACTGGGTGGCATGGAGTTCCCAGAATCTACATTTGAAAAGATAAAAAAAATTCCGTTTAAACCCATTAGGGCACTTTTTTCAGTCTCATTTTCGTGATTTTTTTTTATCCAACGAAATAGAGACAGAAAATATAAACTTACCTCAGAAGTACCTGTTTAATGGCTGAGGGCAGGAAAAATCCTACTTTTGAAATATGTCTCCTTAGCGTGGATTATTGGTATTTCAAAATGTATTCTCCACTCTTACAAAAAGTACACAGGAAAAGATTTCAAGCTAGGCACACAAGAAATGAAAGAACTAATGATTTTGATGAAAATTTAGACTTTCGTCCGATATGTCACGTATTTCAATGGGGACGTTCTTTAAATACGTGTTTGCATTTTCGCAAAAGATAAATGTATTAATCACTATCCAATGTAATGGAGCGCCGAAGGCGCGACCATAGCGAGTTTGTTTGCCCGAAGGTCAAAAAACTCGCTAGTATATAGATGATGATCGCCGCTAAAATCTCTTTCCGTGCAGTCTGCGTGGAAATTAAACCATTCTCCCTCTGCCATTCGAGACAGAGTCCTCTGAAATCTCCTTGAACTGGGTTATCTCTCATGACGGATTTATTCTAGAATTTGAGTATCTTCCGCTCTACTTCATGTGAAGAAAGTTCGGTTAAATTATGGAAAGTATTGCTGACTAATTCCTGCTGTATCAGGAATTGACCCGCTAAAGGAACTACTTCGGCGCCATCTTGCGTCGGTTTTGCGAATCTTTGTTTTAAACCAATGTCAGATGGATATGATTAATATGCTTCAGGAAAACATCTTGGACGTTCGATGCAGCATATTTCGCGACTAAGAGACACCTTAATTGTTCGCCAAAAAGGTGCTCATTCTGGCATAAAGGATGTCCAAAGACCTTATTGCAAAAATGTGGAGCGTCCTCGAAAACGTTTATACGCAACTCGGGCACTGTCACATGAAGAAAGCCTGGAAGAAAATATATCTGGAAATCTTTAGGTGGTCCGGTGGGGCATGGAATCCAATCGGAGGTCATTTCCATGTTCTGTACTGTTCCTTTTCCCCATGTATTTCATTCTCTTTGCAGTCTTCCAGCTTTCCGGAAACGCTAAGAATGCAGTTACTCAGTTTCACACATTTGACCGTGAAAAAGCTGTCCGGATATTTTAAACTGCGACATTGATATATTAAAAGCTTTGATTCCAGAGTATTGGAGTTTTTATGGGATAAAATACAGCATTGATAATAATTTAAAAGACAACAGGGGATCTCTCTGAGGAATGGAGCGACATTAGTGGTTGTGGTCTTGCGTTCGAGCAGAACGTGTTGGGTTTTCCGTTGTTCCCATGAAATTTGTCCCTGGCTTGTAATTTGATTGCGGCTGCAGAGCACGTCGCCTGCTCGAAATCGACGGCGCATTCATCGGTCAAAAGACCAACGGCATGCCAGGTGACTCAGGAAAGGGGAAGGAAGCAGAAAACTACGAGCAATGAGGATGAGCTGATACTTCAAGAATGTCAATTGATCGTCCGCCACGCCGCCGACTTCGAGCAGGCAACATGCTTTCCAGGCACAGTTAAAAATTAGCTTGGGACATAGCCCTTGGGGACGCATGACCCCAACCGCTAAGCTCGCTCCGTTCTTCCGACTCTTTTGCTTTTTTGCTTTTGGACAAGAAACAGGGCCGTATTCCCTCAAATATTTGGATTGATTTGTTACACACGAAATTATTAACATACAAGCACAAAAAGGAGAAAGATTGGTCCAGTTTTGCTGGAAACTAATAATGAAAATGTAATAAAGAAAATTTAAGAAAGTAATAAATAAGGGATGCTCATGTGATTTCACATTTTGAGAGGCAATCCCCGTTAAGACGTCATACAAAATAACATATTTTACAGCATATGGATATCAAGTGAAGCGCAGTGGATACGAATAGTTTAATAGGTAAGTTATGTGTTTCATCTTAACATCATCATGGCATAATGAATCGCTGACATTATTAAAGGCAAACTAATGAACTCAGGCCCGCAGAAACATATCAATCCAACCACCACATGCTCCAGAGGAAAAATAGAATCTCATTATTGTGAGTGCAACATTTCCATAAGAAATCATCATGGTCACAAGGAACTGTAGGAGCCCATGAATGCTTTATCATTCTGCTCTGTTTATTATGTATCCTGAATCTCATTTTCATAAGAACATGGAGAGGCATGAGAAATACAACGGGTGATGAAACAGTTCTGGGACTGAATTTTTTATGACGCTGTGGTGACCCTTTCCGACTACTGATGGATGTATCTTTCAAAGTAGTCCTCTGGCATCAGCGCAAACTTTCTGGCGTTTCTTCACCTTTTGGAATAATTGCTGACACGTTTCTTTTGGAATCTCCTGCAGCACTCATGGTATTTTCAATACACCCTGGGGCGGAAGATCTCAGTGAAGCATCTCTCTCCATTGATGACATGCTGGTCGATATCTTTGCTGGAGACTTCATGCATACTAAACAACGAGGGCTGAAATAACTCGAGATAATCATCAAATGGAGAACCCACACATTGGGGCTCAACAGGGACATCTCTTACTTAACCCACTATATCTTCTTTCAATTCCTACTCTAAGGGTCAATAATGTACCTCATGAGCCTACTTCCCTTGAGAAAGACATGAAAACAAAGAAATGTCGGGGAAAGAACATTTAATTCCATCCTGTTTTGAGTTGGTCATTTC